ATTTGTCCAAATAAGTCTTAACAAATCTCTAAATTTAATATATCAATAACAATTCTTAATCTAAGTATCACTAACTCTTCATATTCAAACAGTTTAATAAATCTTGGAATAGATATATAAATTAATAACATATTTAAAACTAAAATAACAAAATTCCATTTAATTAGTTCTAATTAAATTATTTTCTAAATTTCTTTTAGAATAAGTCGAAAGTTAATTGATCCAACCAGATCTATAATTATCAATAACACTGACGGACTTATAAATATTATAGCTAATAGTTATAGTATGATTAGTAGATGAGATAACATTTAATCAAAAATATTTCTTTAAACCAATCCACATTTTACTTCTCTTTATTTAATTTAAAAACCTTCTGATTAAAAAAAAGATTCCAATTTTCCATATATAATCCATATATGATAATTCTGAATTATCTTAAATACTGGTAGATAAATAATCTCTTCATTATTTATAAGTAATTTAACCCTTAAGTGTTAAGGCGAATTGTTTCTAATCTCAGCAAAGTTTAAAAAAGTTGATGAATTTGTGTAAATGTTAGTCCAAAACAAAACATAATCCCATAAACAAATTCTTCAATATATGTGTCTTGCAAACCCCTCCAAATTAATTAGAAAAAATTATTATTAGTACTGCATTTTCCTATTTCTTAAATAAAACAATAAAAAGATAAGAATTACATTAATTGTTGATTGTATTTGTTCTCTATTAATATAGCAAGTCCAATCTGAATATCCTGAAGTAGCGCCAGATTTCGCTGAATATCAGGCCATCCATCTAATATAGAGTATAAAATTATTAGTTTGTTACTAAATCCAAATGAAAGAGAGCCTCAGGTTATGGTGTATATTAAGCTTCTTTTATTGTTGCAAAAGCATAATTATTAAAAATAACTTATGTTATTTGATAATAACTTAGTCATTTAATACTTTTGCATAATTTATTTGACATTATAAAATGTAAAATATGTGTAGTGATGATAAAATAATGACCATTATCTATTTTATCATAACAAAATTTGCATTAGATAGTTTATTCATCAATTTCAAAATTTTTTGAAAATAACCTCAAGGACTAGCATCCTTTGCATTCCAATTTAGTAGAATTTAATGGTTTCCAGTTAATTATGGTCATTTTTATTTTTTCAATAATTATTTTCATCTTCCTTTACCTATTACAATGTGATTTGAATGAAAAGAAAAATATGTATTCTTTCAAATACTCCCTTTATTGATTTTCTTCTATTGTTTATATCATTTTAAATAGTTTTTCATTTAAAAGTTTTTTTAAATGTACTTATTAAAAAAATCTGAAAAAGAATTAAAGAGAAGGATAGTATTCAAAATATATATCACATTGATGAGAGAAGATATGAGGCTAAGTTTTTAGTAAATGTAGTATATACTTTTTTTCTCATTTAAATTTGTCAAATAATCCAGGTCTGTTTTTTATTAGAGAATAAGTTTGTGAAAAATAATGTTTTTAAGTAAGACAATAAAATCATTAAATTCTATAATATTATCATCTATTAACTATAAATTTAATCAAAACATTTTAAATACCGTAAGAAGAAAATGATGAATAGGAATGCTGATATCTATTTTATGAAGATAAATATTATTCTTCTGCTAAATTGTAGACTGGATATATATAACCAAATATTAAAATTAATAAAAAAATTTATTTATATCAATATTACTATTTAAAAGTAAAAGCTTACATTCTTTTATTGATATTACTCCAAATTTTAAATAATATGGTGCTCAAGACATAATATTCATCATTCAATTAAAAAAATACTTACATAATTTATGCATTTATTGCCTTTAAATTCAGAAATTGAAAAAAGGTAAATAAAAATTGATGTACATTACAGTCTGTTTTTCAGATGATGATTATGATGAGGAAGAAATTCTAGGAATAATGTAATAATCAAAAATTTATTTGTTTAAGTATAAGGAATCAATTAGCAATGCATATTTTAATGAGTCTCATATCACTATCTCACAGGCAACTTGTTAAGAAATCCTGTTTTCATTATCCTTGTTCATGATGAATCATTTAAAGAAATAGAGGAATTATTTCAGGAATTTTGATTGTAAGTATTATTTTAAAACTAAGAACATCATTATAAAAGTAGTCCTTGTTTTTTTAAAAAATTGGATTTATGATAATATGACAAATTTGTGAGATTTTTAGTTTTTGGAGTAGCTATGATAATGAAATCACTATGTCATTTTATGCAGCTGATAAATTGAATAGTGGAAACAAAATAAGCTCTGAATTGTGTAGAATTATCATTTGAATACGTTATATAAATCCAAATAATAGTTCATAGATTGTCTGATCTCACATAAATTTGATATTAATAATGAAGAAATAGAAAAAGGTAGTTATTTTTATTATCGATCAGTAATGTCAATTTAAAGGAAAAGGAGATTATTATAAATAAACCAAATAATTGGGCTTAAGAGACAAATATAAGAATTAAACAGAAAATATAATTAAAAGCCCAATATCTCTCTTTGTTTATATTAATAGGGATTAATATAATAATCGTTAAGATAGACTCAAAACATTACTTATATATATCGCTAAAAAGGACTAATTTTAATAATAATAAATTAAAAATAAGAATCACTCCAAATATCTTTTTTAATAAAGACGAAGAAGCTTAAATATTTAAAATTAAGGATTGTTAAATATAAGGGAAATTTATAAAAAATCTAGTAATAAATTTTTATAATTTACCATATTTAGATATTAATAATTGTAATGAGTTTATTGATACATTTTACTTAAAGAAATTCCTTAAAACTAGACATTCGAGATCTATAGAAAGAGTAAATAAATAATTTATTGTAGATACTTATTTACATAAAAAAGAAATTTTAACATTATATTTATTCATAATGAATTTTATTAAGTCGAATATAAGTATAGTTAGATGAAATCAAAGAAGAGTAATGAACTGATAGAATAAAATAAAGAGTTATATTAAATTTTATTACAAATGCTTTTTCTTACTATACTTGTTTGAATATAATACTATACTATATTAGGTATTGAATTATCATTCTATCTCTAAAAGTTAATAAAATCACAATTCTATGTCATTGAATGCATCATCTAAAGTTAAAGTTCAAATCCTCTTTTATCTATTACAATTTGATCCTTTTAATATTATGTCTTTCATCATTTAGTTTAGTTCTTAATCTATTTTATTTTTCATAAAACCATTTGTTTGAATATAAAATCCAATCTAATTATATGAAAAAATTAAAGAAAATTAAACTACTAGAACACATATATATCAATAGAATGTTTTTGCTCAAATAAGATTGAAACTTTCATAAACCAGGAATTTAATAACTACAGATGATTCAAGGATTATAATCTTATTTCTTCAATTGCACTCAACAATTCACTAATAGGAGAATTCATTGAGTGATATTATTAATTTTGCTATTTACAAATTGATAGTATTTTCAACAAAAAAAAACAATTGGAACTTAAAAACAATAATTAGAATGATGTACTTTACATATCCAACCAATTTAAAGATCAAATTAGAAAAATTGCAGTCAATGAATATTCTTCATCTCATGTATAATCAGTATTTAATTTTAATTATATATAAATTTTAGCTGTTCAGATTTATTATGATGATTACATGGATTTCTAATTACAAATATGAACTATTTAATTTAAAATATTTTTATTAGAAAGAGGAGGATAAATTAAAAACCTATTTAAATTTTAGAATATCAAAATAGTATTTTCCTAAATGTACATAAAAACATAAAAACTCTTGAAGTAAATAAAAAGGAATCAGAAATACAAGCAATTTAAAGACAAGTTGATCAAAAGAATACAGAAATGCTATAAAAAGAACAATAATAATAATCAGAACTTGAGGAAGTATAATATAATTATAATACTTGATTAATCATAGATTAAATATAAAGTTCATGTTTTTGTCTTTGTGATTAAGTAATTCCAAAGAATGGGAAAATAATTTTTTGCATTCAAAATGCTCAGTAGTGGAACTTGTTTTTTTTTGGAAGAGATAATCCAATAGTAGATACTAAAAATTATCATTCATATTTACAAGTCATGATATAATCATAATGAAAGGAAGTATAGAACAAAAGTATATCAAATAGCAAAATAGAATAATCAATTGAACATTTAGGGTAGTTTAAATAAAATCATAAAAATCATTTTTAAGATTTGAAGTTTTAATAAAATAATAAGTAATCAAATTTTTAACTAATAATATAGAAAATAGTTCTAAACTCTTTTTCAACTTGTTTATTTTGGAACAATTGAAAGGAAATGTTTAATTAGTTAAATTTAAAACTCGTTTTTATACAGACTTTTGAATATTTACTAATTTTTATTTACAAAAAGTAAAATGATTTATCAACAAAATTGAAGAGGATTAACAATTTTAATTAGTTTTATCATTTCAAAATGCTTTTATTAATTTAGTGTACAAAAATTTCCAAAAACTGTTTTTAAGAAGTTTGTTAAGGAACATCACTATTTTCAATTTAGGTAAAAAATAAATTTTTATTCCACTCTCCTTAAATATTTATTTTTTGGTTTCTCTTTTTAAGCTATTTGGATGATATTTAGTATTTGCTACAATATTACTTACATTCTCAAATAATTGATTTTATAATCTAAATGGTTCAAGAATGCTGACTTATGGCTGAGACATGAAGCTGCAAGGGGCTCTGGAAGTTTGGGTATTCTTGTAAAGTTTCATGGAAAGCATCGACCTTTCTTAACAAGAAATGATTTCAGGTTTCAGTGTGTTTAGTGTTACAGAAACCTCCAAATGATTTGATCAGGACCCTCTAATTAAATTACATGAGCAGAGTCATGTACTTATCTATTTTTCTTTGATCTCTAGTTCTAACAATTCTTTTTTCGGAATTTTTAATACAAAACAATAAAATTAATAATTCATCAATAATGCATACTAGGAGGCATTAATGAAGTCACAGAATTCAAATTAAAAATAAGATTCCAAAGGATCTTATATCATATCAAAAAAGATTTCATATTAAATATTTCAAATCTTGAAAAAAACCCCATGTCTGAGTCACCAAGCTAAATATATATGTATATTCATCAATTTAAACTATGAGTTCTTGAAAAAGTTGTGAATAATTAGTTTCCCATAAAAATCATATTTTATATGTGATTTTAGAACTTAAAATTTGATTGTAGAGAGGTGTTTAGGATCACAAATAATTATAATTCTTTGTTAGGCACTACCAATATATAGTTCTCAATTTTTATAGTCAATGCTAGTAAGCTGTTCAATATTTTAACAATTTTATAGGATAGTATTCCAAAAATATCTATATCTAATTATTGATTTCTTCATTAAAGTATGCAATATATTAATATGAGGCTTAAAATAAGAGTTCCATAGCTGCTTCTTCTGCCCTAATTGGAAAATTGTATTAAGATTTATTAATTATTAAAAAATAAAGAGTATTATTCTCAAACTGTTTTAGATGCACATAATACTTACCTCTAGCTGAAATTAGAACTCCTAAAATTATTTAATTATTGATATATTCTATACATTAATGACTCTTGTTTTGAAAGAATTTTTTTTATTCATTATGCAGTTAAATTTGTGAATATTAACAATAAAGTTGTTGCTTTGAGGTTAGTCTAAGAATGTCTCAAACATCCATTAAGAAGATAAGAGAAAAGTAGTAATATCTACAAAAATTGTAGTGATATTATAGATAGTTTATTTCTTTCTTTTTAAGTATGTTTTTCAACATTTAAACTGATTACCAAACTAACCATCATTTTTAGTCTATAATTCTTGATAAAGCTTCAACTAATTAATCAAAATAGATATTTAGCATGAGTTTAAAGAGAAACTTTAAGTCTTCATTTTTAAAGAATATCTTTTC